TATGTATGTATGTATATGTATACGTACATGTACATGTACATGCATGTATGTGTGTGTATATATATATATAAAACCCTTATCGAATCTGTTGAAGGAGGCCGTATCAGAAGCCAGTGATGATGTTACCCATACCTGTGGGTTAGCAACTTCAAGCTGACTTCGAAAATCTCAAGTTCGTACGCGAAGACATGCCCCTCTGTCTGTTTTGGAGTTTGGGCCTTGGGGTTTGGAGCCGAGAGTCTTTGAGGAGTTGTAGACGGCGTAGCAGTCTTACTGATATGCTAACATATTACGATTTGTTCTAGTAGAATTCGGTAACTTGCGGTAGACTGTCTCATGGTGTGCGTAGCAACAGAAATGAAATGGCACCGCCAGGGAGCACTTCTGCGGCATAATAACTGCCCCGAGTCAGAACCCCTGAACACTAAACCACCCGTTCCAAAAACCTCGGGCGCATGCAACCCTGCGAATCCTTGTAAAACCCGAACTGCACGCTAACTGCACAAAGAAGGCCTGCAAAACCTTAGATCTATTCAGGGACCTTCACGCCCTAAATGCGCCAACGACAAAAAGCACACTGCCTAAGAACCTTCATGGGACCCCTGTTTAAACCAAAGCAAATTCCCAGGAGCAGGCTGAGAATCAAGTCCTCCAGGAGGAGGTTACCCGCCTCTGCGGCCTTGGTCTTAGATGGGGTGTTTTGGGTTTTTGACAGAAGGGGCTCTTTGGGTTGAAAAGGGCCGTTCGGGTGGCAGTTTGCGAAAGAGGTACTGTCAGCTTCCGAACACTTGTTGTGTTCTTTTGAGTTGTGTTTGAGGTTCTACGTGGTTTAAGGGCATCAAAGGCATATAGGCTGGGGGGATGACAGGGACGAAGGGCTTGATGCTAGGAGGATTGCACGGACAAATGTGTTAAGACTCAGCGTTTAAGGTTCAGGGCTTTCGGGTCAGGCTGGTTCAGGGTTGTGTGGTAAGTTGATGTTTTTGTTAGCCCTGTGGGTGACTACAATTAGATTCAATTTCTCTCGGCTACGCCCTCAACCCTTAACCAACAAGCGAGAACTCGAGAAGGATTTCCATACGTGGCAGTTGAAGCAAGGCTTAGCGACTCCACACCCCGAGCTGCATCCGAAGCGTAAAACTAGCCGTGAAATGGCCTACCAGGGTTTAGGGTTTATAACTTGAGGTGTTAGGGTGGGATTGCTTTTTGAATATTTGCATGCTTAGCTGGCTTAGCTGCTTAGGGTTTTGTTGTAGCACACCTCGAAGTATAACAGGACCTTAAAAGACCCACTTGCGAAACGATTGAACCTTAACCTGCAAGCGACGAACTTCAGCCAGCCAGCACTGCCAACTCCCCGAGCCCCTACCTCAGAACACAAGGTTCTGCAAATCGAAATCCCACACCTTGGCATCCTCAAATCACGAGCAGACTCCTGCAACGCGGGATTGCTCCAAGCACAAGACTCGAACAAGCCTTCAGGCGTCGAAGAGGACTTCAAGGCACCAAAGCTGCAAAGGGTTTCGGGCTGCAACGGTTTACCTGCGAGTACAAGAGGAGTATCGGCTCTAAGGGTTGGCCCATAACTGACATGAGATGTTGTACATAGATACACGGTGTTGTAATATGCATGCGTTTAGTGAGGGTGGGTGTCCTCGCTTAGCAGCCGTTAGCAGAGCTTTCAGCTTCGGTATCACTTTCGCTGCGTGTAACTTCTGAGACTGGCTTCCGGAGTCCGGGATTGAGTTGATCGACGCTGTCGGGTCGAGGGAGATTTGGGGGTTTAGGCTAGGGTTGTGAGGTGTCAGAATTTTGGATTTTGAGGTCAGGGGCCCGAATTCCGGTTCCAGCTTGTGATCATGCTGGTATCAGGCAGGGTAGCTGGTGGGATCTCAGACTGGAGTGCCCGAGGCCATACTATAGTGATCTAAATCATCCTATTGTGGTGTTCCTTTTTGTAAATCATAGCAAAATTATGCCCAAAACCCGATTCAATTTATTACGGCCCCTTTATTACACCCAACCCTCAACTTCTGCTTGGGTACTGGGCCGTAATTTGAACGATCGGAGTACCCCTGTCGACACCGTTTTGGTGCTTGGCTTGGTCTGCCTTCTGGGCCCAGATGAGAGAATTGACACCGATGCTAGCACTGATACAAGAGAACGAGTTTAAGTATGGCTTCGCCGATCTCGAAGTCTGTGGCTTTTGCCAGATTCAGATATTGTGACTTCAAGATGACGTCTTCATGTTCTTCCTTTGTGCATCTTACGTTGCTTCCCCGTTTGAAACCTCATGACGTTGCGTTTTCAACATCGAACTTCTTTCACGATTTTTACGAAGGACACCATCCAGCGAATGGAGATCGAGAAAAGCAACCTGAAGCACAGCGTCCACGAGCTGCAGACCAGGCGGCATGTGGCTCCCCCCGGACCCTTGAGCTTACCCCCTCCCCTCCCCCCGGCCCCGAAAGACGGGGCTAAGATCCAAAGTCCACTAAAGCACATGCCCCGAGCCCGCCGTTCGGGTTTTGTCAACAGACCCCAAGACCTCACTTCGTTCGGCAGGTCTCGTGAACACTCTAAACACTCCAAGACTGAATGCGTATAGACGAACTCTCCAGCTTCGCGCGGGTCCACGTTTGCTGCATGTGCACATGTCATGTCTATTGCAATATATGTGGAGATAGGGCATGAAGCATAGGACGCCCTGGGCTTGAACGGGACCCTCCTGTAGGAGCTAGAGCAGCTAGCAGCGTTCGTCCGGGCTAAACGGCGTGCTTTGCAGCTTCATGAACCTCATGAGTCAGGATAACTCGCATCTATTGCTATTCCTTGATAGCCCATGCTCCATCTAACATTAACATGATCTCGCATATTCCCTCAGATTGCCTTGCTAGGTATGGCTCTGTCACTGAATTCAGGGATAGTGGCATTCGAGTCAATAAGGCCTTATGGTTAAATGTGCAAACATAAAGCCCACGAATTCGGGGGATGCCTCGCACCCTCGAGGCCTAAGATCTACAATCCTAAGGATATGATGTTCCGGTATCTTCCTCAATAAACCTTAAACCCCAAACTCTAAACATTGACCCTGGTCACCCAATCCCCAAACCCAAAGCCTAAGCATAGCCAGGGCGACGCACCTCAACCGAGCGCTTCAGCGACGCGCGCATCGAACTCCCGAGGAGCCTTTGCGGAACTCCAGGGTGTTGAAGTGTTTGGGGGTTGTGAACGTAGGGCCGTATAAGAGTTCCACCATCTCGGGTTTTCGAGGTTGTGAACGTATAGGATTTATAAGGGTCTATTAACCCAAACATGCGAAACCGAAGATTCTAAGGCCCGAAACCCGAAACTCGAAGTCCAACGTCGACTCCCGAAACTAAGGCTCCTAGCCCAAACCACAACGCCACCACGCGTTGCAAAAGCCAAACTATTTATACTAGAAAGACAAGAACGATAGCCTCGTAATCCTCCTACAATTCACTACTCCCTTATTGCAAGCAACTGTAAAAGAAAGAGCCCTGAGACAGACCAACCCGTTGGATGCTTCGAAGCCTGCACAGGCGCCCGAGCACGCTGGCCAGGACCGATCTCATAGAAAAGTGTCGGGCCTCCGCCTCGGGAGTCGAATCATTCAGGCCCCTATACTACCCTGTACTACACCCTCAGAATCCTTGTAGTAACTACTATAAACAATAGACCCCCTTGCGGTAACCTTACAATTGGCACTCTAGGTTTTAGGGTTTGGGGTTTAGTAACCCTATTCATTGTATTTCATTGTCATCGTAGTCCGCAGGAGGAGGCGGAGGAGCACGATTTGGTACTACCGTCTGTGGTCGAGTCGGGCTTCGAGGTGTGGGCTGATGACTCGGCAGTCCCGGATGTTTTGCCGGATGTTGAAAGTTTAAGGGTTATACACGTATATTGGTGGCCTCAATAATCAGAGGTTTACTAGAGTATACCTATGCGAAGGCCCGCTAACGAGTAATATCGGTAGTTGTTAATGCTTCTATGTTTGTGAGGGTCTACGTTGAAGCCTCACGCTTGCTGCACTCTCCTTCGAGATGTAGGTTGTCTTGCAGGTGGTTCAACGGTTTTCGTTTGGGCTCCAGGTAGGCTGCAGAGTGACAGTTGGGATCTGGGCCTTCAACCACCTTAACTTAACCCTTGAGCCTAGACCCGGTCTTGGGATGGGGGGTTCGATTACACGATGAGTTTCTGCATAGCAATGCTTATAGGGATTTTCGGCTTCCGCTTCCTAACAGGGACATGTGACATGAGTCGATAAATTGAACCCTCAAGCCAGAAACCCTAAACCCTAAACTTGCCCCCCCCAGCAGGAGGAGCTTCGGCAGAAGAGTCTCACGCCTCCGAAAGCTCCCGACCTAAGCCTAAACTGGCAAGAGTTATCCGATGAGAAACGGCCTCAAGCTCTAGACCCTGACCCCTGAATCTGAAAGCCCCATAGCCTTGAAACTTCCAGAGCCTGCAAGGCCACCCGGGGCGCGGAGCGAGAGTCAGAGCTCATGCGCGAGCGTGATGCGGCGATCCGGGCCAGGGTCGCTGGGCGGCGCTGTTGCTTTGGTTGCGTAGAAGCTCCAGGGCTGTTAGGATTGTTGAACTTTAAGGCTTTAGGTTTTATGATTTCCGGAGTTTGAGCATGATGTTTGATTCGCAGGATTTAAGTCCCGTGCAAAATCAAAAGCCCTAAAGCCTTCATCCTGGACCCTCAACCGGTTTACAGCAGGTCTTGGGGTTCAGGGTTATCGTAATACAAAATGTTGCAGTACATTGCAATAGATTACAACATATTTAAGCAATAGTATTCTTGAATCATGGCAGCAATCTCGATACAGCTTCTGGAAAGTGTCCTTCAACCACAAATCGGGAGCTGTACATATGTGTTAGGGGATGTACTCCCTAGTTGAAGCAGGAATTAAACGGTATGGCTCTTTGGGTACGTACTTAACAGATCATAGGACTTGATAACTAGGATTGTGAGGATAGGGCAACTATAGTTATCATTACGCATAGTTTGTAAACTTATGGTACTTATGTCCTATCTTGCTACATACCTTAATCCATGATGACATTCCCTTAAACCCTAACCCCCTTGAACCTGTGGGGATTGCCGAAGGATCAGCTGCAAGCGCGCTGCGCGGATCTCGAGAAGCTGTTGCTTCGACGCATCTGGAATTCGGCAGCTTGATCGTGGTTTGAACCAGGTTTCAATCTGTCTTAGAAGGGCTACGGCTTTGGGTTTAGGGTCTTCGGAATCCAAGAGCTGTAAACTTCTCAAGGCATTGTTTTGGCATTTAAATGTGGCTTTTCCTCAAACTGTCAGAATAAGGGTCTCCTAAGTCGATGGAGACAGGCTCGGGCATAGCAGCACTGAAAGCCATAGACAAGCTGTAAAGGCTTTCCCAACCGCAAACCTTGAAAACTCCCGAAACCCCGAAACCTGAATTCCCAAAGCCATTCTTCCGTACAACCCGACAAGCGCCAAGCAGAATCGAGTGCCGACATGCAATCAAAATCCTGGAGGCCGAGAAACCCTGTACCCCATAAGTCGTACAAACCTCCACGTGTAGAACCGTACTTGCTGTAAACGGTGGCAAGTCACCCATTCGCTACGCAAATGTGACCCGGCGAACCGCTTGGTCGCACACGGCAGTCGGGTTGACCGTGTTGCCGGCATGCAGCCAAATACAGAGATTCTAAGACACGCTTTATAACGTATGTTTCCAGGAGGTGGCAGCCCAAGCTGGAGGTCTTGGGTCTTGCTACTACACCCCGGGCTTGGTAGTGCGGCAGACAGTCACTGTTTTTGAGCAGTGCGCAGTCAGTCTGGTTCTGCACAGGCCACTGAGTGCATTCCACCAAGCGCACCCGCGTAAGATAAATTCCCTGATTCGGCCTGAGCTCTGGGCTTTTCACCAATGCCCAAATCCAATAATCCGAAATCTTCAACCTAAGTCCTCACTGGATCGATTCTGGACCTCCTTGTTAGAATGGAGTGTCCTAAGTAATTACGCCCCAAGACCTCAAAAATCGAAAGGACCCTCGCAACATTGAAGCCTTTGCCCATAAGTTTCAACCCTATGCCAACATCCTCCAACCTTGGCCGTAGATCGGGGATTCTGACAGGTAGGCCTCGGGAGTATATCCCCTCTTTCCCGGTAGGTAACATGGTTTTAGAGGAATTGTGAATCTGACATACACTCTCTATCCTTCTCTTGGCTGCCCCTGTCGACCCATGATCTCTAAACAAACCCACCACCACCACCACCACCA